ATAGCTCCCCATCTGCTTTTGCCTTCGCTTGTAGCTCAGATGAATCCGAACCACAACCACAGACGACTGACGGACGACAGTGGTGGCTTTTGTCAGTGTTTATTTATTCCGCATTGGGTTGTGCAATACTCACACAGGACTTATAAGTTCGGTGTCACTCCTAAACGTGTGATATAGCTCGGATCAATCCGAACCACATCCCTCACCGCATCGGGAGTCCCGAGGTGAGTATCACGCCCAGTGACGGGAGGTCTCATCGGGAAAGGAAAACGGCGGCACACGCCACGCATCCTGAATGCAACATACAATAACCGATGGTGGGCACTCATGGCATTCGTTGTTTATTTGTCCTTCCGAGACGCGAAATGTGAACATTTCGAAGGACGTCTGGGTACCGCCTGACTGAAACCGTTTGCTGTGGTCCGTATAATTAATCCGAACCTCATAGCTCGACAGCGATTGAGTCTGATTTGTCTGCCACTCTTGGCTTTTGTCTTTTTGCACATGGGGCAGTATGGCAAACATCGCTAAGGACATGTTGCTTCCTAYTSGCTCCGCCTTCGATTCCAGGGGTGTCTCATCCTTCTGCCACATCCCTCCGAGTGAGGCGAGGTCGCTGGGCGGTGGCTCGGATTAATCCGAGCCACGGATGGTCGCACGACATCCCATTTAATGTCTATCTTTCCTGGGCGGTTGCTCGCATTGATCGGAACCACGGATTGGTGGGCATGGATGAGCTTCTGTCTAGGACTTCTGTTGGCTGGTGGCTCTGATTGGTCCGAACCTCGGATCCGGGGCGGTGCTGTAGGCTTGGATGAGCGTCTGTCTTGCACTTCTGTTCAACTCGTATTCGAAATGACCGTGGTAGGTAGAGTGTGTGCTTTCATGGCTCGGCGAAAAGTATCTGTCATGTCGACTGTGCGAAAACGTCTTCTGTAGATGAGGCGGTGTAATGTGGCTGTCCTGMGTCAGTGTGCTGTTCCGTTCGACGAGGGCCGTCCCACTGTTCTGTCCGTGTCAACGTGCTTTACGGCATGGGTTTTGATAATTTTTTGAAATCCCGCATCTGCTCTGGAACGGGTCCCTGCGTAGCTTTTAGAAAACACTCAATTGGCTTGGTGAACTTCTGATTGGTGACCTTCTGTAAGGGCTTTGCAATGCGACGTGGAAAGATTTTTTTTTTGGAAGTTTCCGATTGACGGCCTTCTGTAAGGGCTTCGCCGACAAAAAAGTGTAGGGCGTTACAGCTGGGTGTGGGCGTCGTTGGGGAAATTATCGTTCACCAATATTGTTTACGACCGTCTCCTCTTCCGTACGTCTATCCATGTGTTCGTGTTGTGTAGGGAGTTTAATGTCGTCGAGTCCTTCGACAAGCATCGCCATGACACCCGAGAGGCACATGCGCTTAGCGAAACCCTTTCCACCTTGTGCGAGATCGTTGCGGCATCATGACGGTCAAACGTGGATCGACAACGCACCCGAGGACGACTTCGAGGACGACCCATGGACGACCGCCGTCCCTTCCATGAACCGGCATCTCGACGAATGGAACGAAAATGACTGGAAGGCGCTGGAGCATTCCTGCCCATGGGCAAGCCATTACAAGTTTGCCAACATGTTGAAGTTCGGGAGCCTCATTGAACTGCCTGCTGGTGTCCTCCATCGAAAGATTCTGGACGATAAGGGTAAACCGGTCCGCTTCCGTACCAGCTTCAGACGTCGCCTCCACTACGAGTATATCACATCTTCGCCACGAACTTGGGGAAGTTCGAAGAAGAAAGAGTTGGTGGACTGCGGTTGTCATTGTTCATTCTTGGAACACTACCCATCCCGTTGCCTAGGGACTTCTTCACAAGCTCTGTCGTACTGTTGTGTGCGCTTGACCTATGACGGATGTCCTTTCGCCTGAGTGCTTTGTGTGACTTCTTTAAGCAAAAGCGGGAAACTTGTGGATGGAGTTGTGCTTGTGTCACGCAATGAGATGGTGCTTCAGGGATCCAGGTTCAAGGCGGTCATGTCTCGCCCAGATGTAGATGGGCGATCAGACTTGGTGAGAGCAGGTCAGGTAAGAGTTTTTCTGTCATTGTGGGATGATGTGGAAAAGAAAGTGTCTGAAATACGTGTATAGGGAATTTCTTAGCACGACGAGGAGGGTTTGTCAGGATGAAATACATGTCAGTGTTTTCAGAGAAGGCAACAGTCGACGAGCCGCAGATCCATGTGTATGGATCATCTATGAATGCTATGTATGGCTTCCATTCACGACCTCGTCCGCGGGAACCCCCGCATGTCACAAGATACGGACGTGTGGTCAGACCTTGTGTTTAAGGGAAAAAGAGACTCCCTCGTGACGACTAAAGTTGACAACTGCGTTGTTGCATTTGAACTTGTGAAGGCGGCGTTCTATAAGTGTTTCGGATTCATCCGAATCATCAATCAGATACGTGCGGGTGCATCCAACTTTGAAGGCGATGCGTATAGACTTCCCCAAGGAAGATCCTTGGCCAAACAACAACCCGTCGGATTCTGTATGTGCGACTCGATAACTGCAGACCATCGAGTTTATGTTCTTGCACGCCTTCGAGGCAAACGACGCTTCCAAACAGTCCGCCGCCCTCTAGATCGTCTGGTGCTGCCATGAAATGTGGTGCCCGTGTCCGAGGCCCTTTGTGCAACAGCCGCTGCATGGCAGAAAATGACGTGAGCGGCGACGGCCGAGGCTGTAATCATGCATGTCCACCAGAACATCTTCTGTCTCGGATTCATCCGAAGTCGCCGGTTGCACATGCGTTTTCATTCTCATCCCCGCAAAAGTCGTCTGTTACCCTGGACACCTCTTTGCGTTAATACGCTTCATATGGGCCGATGATAAGCAGCGGCGCAGAATGCATAGCACGTCCCGATTGCGAAATCGTCGGGTTTTTTTCTCGCGACGGCAAAGGCTCGTGATCACCCCCGGCGACGGCGATGATGGTTTTTTGATTGGATGCCATGAAATGTGGTGCCATGTCCGTAGCCCTCTTCGCAACAGCCGCTGCCAGGCCGAAAGTGAATGATCGACGCTGGCCTACGCTGTAATCGACCTTATCCGGCATGTCATCTTGTGTCTCGGATCCATCCGAAGTTTGGGGCCTCTGGAGCTTGTTCCTTCTCGTCACCGAACGTTCAGCACCTGCACAGAACACAGAAAAACTTCCCRATTGRAACATCGCGRGGTCATCGAGTTRTCGACTCCCAYATGATGATTACCGTGAACAGCGGCATGATGGCAGGTTCGCCTCTCCGATGTGGGTCTAACGGTGGATTGCGTCAAATCTGCTCTCAAAGATCCACACCGGAGAGGGGGGCCAGCAATCAACCACTGCTTGCTTGTAAAACATCATATGATATGTGGATACAACCGACATTCAGAACTGGTCGGTGAGCATCTGGTGCTACGCCAAAAAGTTCGTCATGCGGCCTCAATATTCCCCCGCGATTGCTCATTTTGGGGTTCTCGC